TGGGTCGGGTGGGGGAGAGGAAAAAAAAAAAAAGGGCCCGGGAACCCCGGGGGGGGGGGGGGATCCATGTTAATGCATGCCTTAGCTGTTTGACGATTGACCACGAGCACGCTGTTCACCCACTGGACGGACCGATCACGGCCGCCGGGGGAGGGAGGAGAGAACAAGGAAAAACGGTCGCACGTTCTCAAGCGTGTCTTGGAATCTTGCAGGGGGGGGGAGACTAACGGCGAATCACTCTACCGCGGATTCTCTCCCCGATACCATGATGGAGGGTCAATGGGTGGGGGGTTCTTCTTCAAGAAGCATGGCGGCAGTGGTACTGGGGACTCATTTTGGCGACTTGGACAAAAGAGCATGCCGATCCCCACCACCACAAAAAACAACTAAGCTATACATTAAAAAAAAAGAAAAACGCATTTTTTTTCACCCGTAAGCACAACGAAAACATTGAACATTTACCGTTATCCAGGCGGTGGTACTTGTACTACTAATGGGTGCGGTCTCTGCGCGGTACACAGCATCGCAACAGCAGCAGTCAACGGTCGACGTCTCACCTCTCCCGGCGCGTTGGCAGACGGAGACGCCGGTGCGGGAACCACTCCCCCGAGAGATGTGATGGTCTGGGCGTTCCCCGTCATGGTGGTGCCGATCATGGACATGGACGCGATCGTCGTCACCGGTCTTCGGGTCGCACGCCGCAACAAGGACAAGAGCGGCACCGCGGGGAGATGGCGGGGGGAGGAGGGGGGGTCTTCTCAAGGACGGGTTCGAAGAGGACACCATAAAACAACAACGGGCCCCCACTGCTAGCTCGTTTCCCACCACACAAGCAATACAACCACACCGGACACTCAGCGAAGCTAGTAGCAAGACCACCACCAATACCACCACCACCACCACCACCACCACCACCACCACCACCATCGGGCGGGCGGGACCAAGCAAGCCCTCTCTAACCCCCGCGTTCTAGCTAGGGCGGCACTCGCAGAGACCCAGCCAGCCAGCCAGCCAGCCAGCCACGCCTCACTTGACCCTTACATCTTCTTGGAGGTTGAGTGGGCCTCGTTGACGTGCGCGTAATTCTCGAAGGCGTTCGCGGCGCCCGAACCGGCGACGCCGCCGCCGCCGCCGCTCCTGTCCTTGGAGAACGTCCCCGCCACGACCCCGCTCCCCCCCCCGCTCCCCCCGCTGCCGGCCCCGCCACCGGGGCCGCCGCCGCCGCCGCCGGCGGCGACGGAGGGCGGGATGGACACGCTCGCCGTCTTCTTGGGCCCGTTGCTGCCGCCGGCGATGCCGCCGCCGTCGCCCGCGGGAGTCTCGCTCGTCTCGCCGTGCACCTGCCGGGACACAGCAGCGCGTGGGAATTATTACTATACAACAGAACCCGATCGACAGCGTGACAGCGCCGTGGCCAATGCGAAGAAACGCGTCCCGCGGTGGAAGAAAGCCCCCGACACCAGTGCCACCGCTGCTGTTGCTGCTATTGAATAAAAAAAAAAACAGCTTCTCTTTCTACCAAGTTAAGCGGTGCACCAAAACGTGCGGAAGCTCTGCCGGATAAATACGTATCTCGCACGTACATGCGAGCTTAGAGAGGGTAAGGTTCCTATCGTTGCCGTTGATAATGTCACCCGGCATGGCGCAAGGCTAAGAAAGGCCACGCCCACATAACAGCACAAACGCCGACAGCCACAACTGACCCTGACCTTGTTGATGACGTCGTCCGGCATGTCCAGCGCCTCCACGCCATCCACGAACTCCTCCAGACCGTACTCCGGCGGGGTCATCGCCTGATCGATTTGATTGGTCGAGGTGGCGACAAAAAACGTGAGGGAAACACGCAAGACGCCCAGAGCACGCAGCCTGCACAAAGGGGCCTCCTTAAGGAACCATCTCCTTAAAGCGGCTGCAAAAGAAGAAAAAAACACATGCTTCGTTGGTTGGTTGTCCGGTGGAGTTGTGGAAAATGTGCGCCACACGGTATGCAGAGTGCGGAAAACACTAACGTTGGAGGGCTTCAGACAGCACAAACCATGCTAGCTCGAAACTGAGAGAGTATCGGTACTGTCCAATGAAGGCATGCTCTCACAGCAACAGCAGCAGCAGCAGCAGCAGCAGCAACAACACCCACGAGAGCAACAACAGCAGTAAGGCAGGGGGGCACGACCTCAACAACAGCAACCACGACAGCACAAACCATGCTCGCTCGAAGCTGAGATCCGAGATAGTATCGGTATAAACCACAACAACAACAACAACAGCAGCAGCAACAACAACAACAACAACATCAACAACATCAACAACAGCAACAACAGCAACAACAACAGCAAGGCTTGTCACCTCGAAGATACACTCGTCGTTTAGGTCGTGCCCCCCTGCCACAACGAGCACGAACTCGATGTCGGCGCCGGTCTCAGCCTCGGGCGGCTGCACGACAAACAAACAAACAAGCCAGCCGGCAATCACAGGAAAATCATCAGAAGAAAAGCACCAGAAGGAAGCATCGGACGAAAGCATCAGAAGAGAGCACCAGAAAGAGAGCATCAGAATAAAAGCATCACAAGAAGGCATCAGACGAAATAACCAGAAAGAAAGCACCCAAAGCAAGCGTCAGAAGAGAGCTTCAGAAGCATCAGAAAGGCAGCATTACAAGAAAGCACCAGAAGGAAAGCTTCAGAGAGAGCGTCAGGAGAGAGCAACGCAAGAAGGCGGGGAACGGCAAGGAGGCAAGACCTCTTGGCGTCAGCAGGAGGACAACGGAGGAGGAACGCCATGGCACGTTCAACGAAACACACACACACACACACTGGAAACGTGCAACAACGCCCCAAGAACAAAAGGCGGGGATACATCAAATCGATCGACTCAACCGAAAATACAAGTACTAGGCGTCACAACAACGTCAACCCCGACACAGCAATGAACAAATGGATGTTGAACCTCCCGCCCTACCCTAGTCGTTTCCACTTCGCAGTCCCCCTTTCCGTCGAAAACAGTGCGTGTACACGCATGCTCAATTACGCGTCCCGCGTTGTATGCATAGCCGCCCCCTCAACCCAACCTATTATCATATTCCACTCCATGCTACCCCCCCCCTCCCCGCCAACGGTCTAATGGTCTAATGGTCTAACGGTCTCACCGCCTCCGCGTCAGTAGAATCAGTCTCCGACGTCCCCGAGCTCCAACCCCCAGGGGATTTCCTGCCACGACGTGAGCAGGTTGCACGGGTAGGGGTTTCGAGGTGAAAAATCGGGGGTGAGGCAGTCTTATCGCTCCCCACAGGAGGTCGGGGAGAGATTACGTCGAAGCGCTATAGGTTCTCCGCCGTTCCATCTCGCCTTAAAATACCCGCAGAGAGCCACAAAACAATGGTGTGGCACGAACGAAGCTCGACAAGCAAGGGGCACAAGTAAATCAAAACAGGGAGGGACCACCCGATGAAAGATGGAAAAATTCCCACCCCCGGTGCCCCTCCTCCCCCCAAGGCCTCGTTCTGTCTCTGCTCCAAAAACCGACCTGTAGTCCTCCTCCAAATGCTCGTGATAACACAGCAATCAAGAAAAGAAAAAAGATAAGACGCTATGAACTCATTTGCAAATCTATCCCAGACTCGTATTTAGTGTCTGTGGAAGATATTATATTGTCGTGTTTAACAAGCAAAAAAAAAAAAAAAACTCACACTCCGGCCGCTCCCTTGAGGGTTTCCCAAGCGCCGACGCCTCCCGCGTCTAGCGAGAAGATTCCCTCCGGGGGACAAATGGGCCGCAGCGTCGGGGTCCTGGACAGGCTTCTTCTCCGCAGGCTGGGCTGGGAGTCTCCACTGTGGGAGCGCCGGTGTCGTGTTCTCTGTGAAAAAACAAGGACCAAATACGTTTTGGTCGGCAGAGGGGGGGGGGGGTGTACTCATAGTCGTGCATGCCGTAGTCGTTTGACCATTGACCTCGCATCCCTACAAAGCCGGGACGGAGCACGCCGGGTTCTCACCGGACCAGGCTCTCACATCACCAAGCGCGAAGCGCCGTGAGGTATTTGGCGAGTCGCATGAAGGGTGAGCTGCATCCTGCTAAGGGTGTTCAACATCTTGTGCTTACTTCCTTGCGTACGGATGACAGCTGCGTATGACTTAATTTATTTTCTGGTGCTTTCACTTCCAGAGACAGTTGTAAGCACTGTGTAACTGCCTCGAGGATGCTTGGCCATTTCAACACAACGTGGTGCGATCATCCCCCGTTGCGCGGAGTGAGGGTTCTCCACCCCGCACAACATGATC